TATAGCGCAAAAACACATATCTGAGTAATCAGTTGTATTGGAGCTATATATTAAAGTGAACCTATTTCTATAATTTTAAGGGACAATTAAGGTAATATTAAAAAACCGTTATGTGCAAAATTTTAGTAAAATAACTTCAAACCCGAGGGAGTTATTTATAAGATAGTTAGAATTTAATCAAAGTTTCAAGTACCGTTATCTCGAAGACCGGAGCCAATCTGGTAAAACGGGGGATGCCATTGAATTTCGGACGTCCCATTTAAGTGGGTTCAACTTTCAAAATCTTTTCTAATAATCTACAACTTGCACAGCGTAATTTGAACCACGCTTATTGTTTTGTTTTCTATTTCAGCGATTTAAATGTTTATTCCTCATCTAACTTTTGAAGCACTTGATGAAAATGAATTACACTTATATTTATCGATTTATTAAGAGATATATAAATTAAAACATCAGACACTTGTTTGCTTCGACAACCACATTTATTCTGATTCATCATGATCTCTTCAACAAAAACTAAACCTACCAAGACTACGCAAAGAAAATGGAAAAACCAGTTGTTGTTGATGGCGTGAGGAATGCAATCAGAGGACGCTTTCCAGGAATTTAGTACCGCTTACCAAAAGTCGCTGCTGCTTTGTGTGCCGTGTGCAAAACTTTTTACTGCTTGCCCTTATCACACATTCTCTGTGGAGGATATTCGTTATACATGTTGGGCCAGCTTCATTCACTAATTGCTGTTACCGCTAACTTAAAGTCGCTGTTTCTTAGTGTTCCGTGTGCAAAACTTTTCAATGCTTGCTATTATCACACCTTCTCAATGATGGTCATTCTTGTCGGACTCATTCATTAAATGCTGTTGTAGAATGTCATTTCCAATAGTTGCTGTTACTCTTACTACAGCCTACCATTATCGTGGCTAAGCGTAATCAGCATTTGAAAACATAATAATGAAGAAAAACACAGGAGCGGATTCAATGATGTCTTGAAGCGAGTTGGGAAATGGGACAAGTTTGTTCTATCCACTAACTATTCCCCTCTATAATATCGAAACGTCCGCGGTTCGATGATTAGGTCTTGTTTAGGCTCCAGGTAAATACGGTGGTTTCGTCGCTGAATAAACTTTGCACTTGCGGAATAGAAATATCTTTGGGATCATTGAAAAATTAGTCGTCATTAGCTGGTTGTGGCGTAAAGATTCTGAATGGTTGTTTGCGCTCTTAAACGTAGCTTGGCTTACAAATATTCAACTTACATAAACTATTATTTCATTTTTACATTTTCTTTTATTTAGCTTAAAAATAAATGTAAATATTCAAGATTAAATGCTTGTGGTTTTGGTTAAACTATTTATTGTTTATGGTTTATCGATTTGTAGATTTTTTTTAAATTTCAGGCATATATGTAGATTGTAGCAAGTATGAATAGTAATCCTAAGTCCTTTTCAATAACCTTCTCTATAAAAATCTTGCTGAACTTGTTTCCCAGTCTTTTATTTCTTTTAAGAAACACCTTTTCGCCAGGCTCATATGTTTTAGTATTCTTGTTTTTATTAAATCTCTCTAACGTTTTTTCTTGGGCTATTTTTAATTTATTTCTTATCGTTTCTAGTATTTCTATTGATGAACTATGGAAAGCGTCAATTGGCTTAAAGTTTATAACAGAATGGATACTATTATTATACTTATGTGTGGCTAATAGCATTAAGTCATTAGTCTCGCTTATTTGTTGTTGTTCCTTGATGCATAGGGCTATTTCCAGCAGGGTGGAGTGGAACCTCTCGACCTGTCCATTACTCTCGCTATGAAGTGT